TATTTTACTAAATTATTTCTGCATTATATGATATACGTTAGCATAGGCAATAACGAATAATTAACATCCTACAGTACTAAAATTATAAACTTATTTTGATGTCAATTCAATCTCATTTATGTTTTAGACATGATTTATTAAAAAATGAATAAACAGAAGAATGTAATCAAGATCAAAACTATTTCAACAGAATTCAAGAGGCACAAAATTATTCATTTATTAATTTGGTGCCATAACAAAGGTCATATAATATTAAATGGAACAAAATTTTAGTTTTTATGCAATCATTTTAAATTAAGACATTCTAAATCAATATACCTATTCAAATGTGAATATCAATTATTATAGTATATACATTCCTACTATGTTAATAATTTTAGTTGTGAGATTTATAAAAATAAGTGACTAATAACTATAGGAGCACAAAGTCTAAGTACTAAAATTCATCATGTTTTTACTTGCCAACTTTGAATGTTATATATATGTGTGTATATACAGATACACACACATACATACACACATCTATGTTCATCTACTATTTTTGTTAGGCTACAAATTAAATTGTTCCATTCTCTATGCAAAAACACTACTTTGAAATACTTTTGAATAGTTCAATTTTAAAACAATTGTTGAATTGAAGAATATCATTTTTCTCACAATCTTGTATTAAACCTTGATCAATAAAAGGAATCTTCTGATTTGTTTGCCATATCAAGATAGGGTTGCACCAGGTTCAATAAAGCAAACATTTTATAAAACAAATTGATGTACAGAAATAAACTGCTTTAAGTGTTTGTTAAATTGACACTATTTTTTGCACTTATGTAAGAAAGCATATTCACACATATGTTACAGATAACAAAATCCAATGTCTAATATTAGAGAGGCACTATTAATTTTAAGACTTGCCTTTTTTCCCATTATTGAGGTGTAGTGTTTTTCCCTCATTGTCTTTATAATATTGAAAATAGATGATAATGATTAATAAGCAAGGTCATTTATCAACCCCAAATCCAAGCACACCAAAACCATAAAATCGCATGCTTAGGAAACAAATCCATGCACTAATCATGACAGCCAATAACAACAAAATATAGGTTATACATTGCTTGTCTTTCAAGAAAACCAATGAATAATTATTCTTGTATTATAGTTATACGTTTTTGCTAATTTAAAATCAGTGCAGTTTACTAATCAAAAACTTGTGAGACAAACACACAAGTGAAAAGCCAGCTCAACAAATAGGCTTCCTTATTTTACTGAAGTTGAAATTATTAACATTGATACTAATTATTGCTATCTTGAAAAATTACTTTATTATGGATGCGAACTCCTGGACAACCTGAAGGGTTAAAGCATTTGTATGTATTATTTTGAGACACAAAGGAAAGGGAAAATGGGAAAACATTAAGTGCTCAGTTAAACAAAAATGAAATCTATTTTTAAAATAGTCCATAAAAATGTTATTCAATAACATTCCAGGAAAATGAAAGGTGTGGGACAATATTTGTTATTCACAACAGAGATAGACACACAATTTTATAAATCTTGTAATTAAACTTGCTTTGTTTCTACTATCACTGTGATGCTTTTTATCATTTTTAGGACATTAAAGTTACTGACACCAATTATGATTTAAAATGCTTACTGTTTTAAAAAATTACAAACTTCACAATGAGAGAATGCATCTGTAGAAATATAGCTCATACAAAATATATCTAAATGCATTATTTTCCCATTATAATGAAATAAAAGGTAAATAAAGTACATTCCAGTATTTAGGAAAAAAAAATGAGGATCAGTTAAACCCAGAATAAAAGTAGATTTGAAATTGTTCTACACTGTTCAAAGAGTTTAAATTTTTAAATCAACACCTTAAATAATATTAAATTCTGAATTTCAGATTAATGGTTAAAATTTAATGAAAGAAATGTATAACTATATTTCCTCCTTAACTTTTAAAATCCTGTCGTGATAATTCTGACTTTATGGCAAAAATTAAAATATAAAAACAAAGCAAAATTTTTCTAAATATCAGAAATGAAGGATCTGTACACCATTTGGAATACTACGGGAAGAAACCATGACTGTCAGTAAATGTTTGAATAATATTGAGCCAAAACAAAGAGAAGAACCAGAACAAAGAAGTTAATTGTTCTTACACTGGGAGAAAATGTAATTAGAAAAATACATTAAGTGTGGTATTTGCTAAAATATATTTTTCTAGATTGTGCTTAACAAAAAGTTTGAGCAAATACATGAACTCAATGTAGAGACTGGAAAAATAATAAATTGATATCTTCCTCTGAGGCACCAAGTTTGAGTGAATATTCCATTAGTGGAATAAATGAAATCTTCTCAGAAGTTAACTAGGCAGCCTTCACGATAGCTCTTCATTAATAAAACCAGATTTATTTGAAAGTTAATCTTAAAAATAGTCTGTTTATTGTTCATTTATGAATTTGGGAACCAAAGTCTTGCGTGAAATTCCAAACTCATTCTTGTCAAACATTTACTCATTTACTTTAGACACACTATCAGACAGACCTGCCTTGACCTCTTCTCCCTGCATTTGTTCCCCCTGCTCTTCCATATGCCCAGTTTCTTCAGTAACTTCTGTATTTGCACGAGGAAAAAAAAATAAAGAAAAAAAAAATACAACTGGATAGGTATACTTGTTTTTCTAAAATGAAACAAAAACCCCCAAAACATTCATAATTATACAATGTGTGATTATGAAGACACTGACAGGTTTTAATGAGTTTTTTGATATTTTATAAAATAACTAGTAAGCTTACTATTTTTATGATCACTGATTTTTAAAAAAATGAATAGTGAATTCCAAAATGCTTGCAGTAGCAGACAACAGGATTAAGTAGTCAAATATTTTGCCCAGAAACTGGATATATTAGTAGTATATACATATATGAATAAATGCATTACATAACTTTTCTTCTAGAGAACAAAAATGACACTAAACATTTTATTGACATTACAAGGCAATATATCAAAATTAGTGGAGAATAAATAATGCACAATGGTTTAGTAGATGTTATTTCTATATTGCTCTCATCCTATCTTTGGTTCTCAGAACTGAAAAGATTAATAAATGTCGTACCACAGTCAAGGACAAAGTATGTAAGGTTTTAAAATAACTTATTTAACAGACTAAAATACCAAATAATAAACCCAAACCAGAAAGAATTAAATTATGATTTGTTCATTATTAGCTATTTTAAAGAGCAAAAAATACATATTTTAATGATTTTTTTAAAAAAATGATGCTATTAAGCTACAATGGCTGATAATTAAACTTTTTGCAACAAAATTAAACATACTTTCATTTAGACCATAAGCTTGTAGTCTATTTTGGGTGAAAAAGAGATTCTATGGCTCTTATTTAAAACCAATGAAAAGAACACAATCTAGTTAAGTCACCACATCAATATTTATGAAAACTGTGTTTGAAAAAAATCATTCATGCTTTTAGGTAAAAAAGAAGCAAACCGAAAGTATATAACTTCATATTAAAAAGGATAAGGAAGAATTCGATTTTCTTCTGAAATAAAAATTGTAGGAATAAAACAAATTTTCAGTGAATTGAGTAAGAAAAAAATAATAAAAAGTATGTTGACAAGCCTCTTAGAACCTTCATAAATTCTTTCAGTAACATCACCATCAGCAGTTTTCTAGTACATGAATTACCAAAAACATGGAGCTCCTCTCTATATTATTAATGCAAAATAAATCAAAATTAAATTTTGAAAATTGACACAGAAAATATTATACCTGACTTCAAATGTCAGGAAATTATGTTGAAACTCTATCCTTAAAAAATCTTGGGAAGATGAGAAATTCCATAAACATTTCTAAATTTTCCTTATAAAAATAATTCGAAATTATATGCCCTCAATCCAACATGAACGAATGAGAAACATAGGAATGCTACTAAAAATCTTTTCATCAGAACATTAGTCATACTAGCACTATTGTTCAAAATCATTGTACACAGAAAATAGAAAGAACAACGAACAGAGGTTGATAATCATCTAGATACAACTGACAAGAACACAACTTAGATCAACAAGTCACAGAAGGCAAGGAAAGTACTATTGTTCAAATATAATGCACTTATGGATTTGTTATAAATAGGTTAAGAAATGTGAATTGCAATATAAAAATGTCTATATAATGGCAAGAGCGTTTTACTGGTAACTTATAAAATATTTGAGGTATCCTTTCAGTTTTTAAATATCTCATGCAATCAACATTTACTGTGGCCTATAATGTGCCAGAAATTACCCTATATTAAGCAGAGTCTATGAATAGGTTAACACATTTTGAATAGTATGACATCAATTTCAATGTTCCAACACTTACAGAAGGTATCTTGCAGACCAAATAAATGTATGACACCCCATATCAAAACTCAGTATTTTCTCTTAGGTCATAATGTCATGTTTGATAATAAACCTATATCACATTTAACTTTTATTTACCATAAACATTCTTGCTCAAACAATAATGTAGGGAATAAGAATCACAATCACTATCTAACTCAACAATAACATTATTTTTTAGAAATGAAATTTAATATCTGAAAGATCATAAATACGAGATGAAATATATGATGATTAATGTAACTAGACTATGTGTACATCTTCATTGACATAAACACAGACTGCAATTGACATCTTTAACATCTTCTTCAAAATGTGGAATTCTTTTTAAAAGGCTAATGAAAACTTTTGAAAAGAGAACTTTTTTCCTAGTCATCCAGAAGTTAGACTCTTTGCACCCTGACTGAATCAAAGAAATTGAACTTCTTGGCATACTGTCTTGGTATACTAGGTATAAAAGTAAAATAAAACTGAACAGAAATCATGAAATAAAATAATTTTCCTACTTAAATGTCTATAATATGAGAAGGGACATCAATTGCAGTTGGGTTTATTTTTGCTTACATAGCCCCCCAAAAAGGCTGTCAGCACAAAACAAACCCTCCTTTAAGTACAGACCTTCATAAGGTTCTATCTCCTTGACTCCATTGTCTAGGGAAAACAAAATAAAAACAAAACAAAACAAAACAAACAAAAAAAGGAACCAAAGCAGAGGGGTTAAAAACAACAGAAATTTACAGAGGCATAGAATGTATTGTCTATTAAAGAAAAGCTAAATGGTGATTTAAATATATCTATTTTTGCAAAGCACATCCAATTATCAAATAAGGGGATCATTATTAAATAATGTTCAACACTATTATATTTAATTATACATGCTTTTAGACATCATTTATCTAAGAATTTATAGGTGTTTGGGAAGTATGTTCATGTGTGTTTCAACAAATAGTGCTTTCAATGCAAAAATTTGAAATTATTAAAAATATCAGTACAACATGCATTTTTCTTTGTCTATTTGTGATTACCTTTTTCTTGTACTCCAGTTTTGAGAAGGATCACCACTGTTGTGCATCAGCTAACCAGTCCTTTGCAGTGTGTGAAAATTGATTTGGCTAGTTACTAATAAACTTTATGTAACTATCAACAATTACATATACTTAGTTGCAGCAAAACATATCAATCAACTGCATATTTAAGAATACTTAGTTTACTTTTAAGAGGCATTCATTCAAATTTGAAAAATGCATAAGACTAATAAAGATATATTATTTATCTCCAAATATTATAAATTTAAAATGCACAATACATAATATCAGGAGTTAAACTACTGTTAAATTCAGTCAAGAAAAACAATTAACCAATGAAGAAAGCTAACAGAAAAGTAGTAAGGAAATCATTGTTCACCTTAGCGTCCATGAGTATTTCCTATATAACATAGTTAGAAATAACACTTACTTCTCTCCAGCGTTCCCTTTGGTGGCAGCTGCGGCAGCTGGCGGCCCCTGCGTCCTGCCACTGGAGTACTTGATGGGCTTGTTTGCACAGACCCAGTACGAGGATGAGACCTACAAGACAAATCGTTAATACTCATTTTCAGTACAGAGAATCTAATACTTTCAACAAGTCTGCTTCATATGGCATCTGCTTAAGTGTAATTTCAAAAGAGATTTAGCTGCTGATTAAAAGGTTAGGAAAATAGGACAAAATATGGAGAGTTGAATGATTATTTAAATATCAAGAGATGTTTCACTTTTGTGTACTATGCATACACACACAAACATGCACACAGAACCCTACAATATATCCATGGAATAACTAATGGAATTACTAATGTAAATTAGAATTCTAAATACAATAAAGCAAGAGAATTCTGCAGCTCAGAACTAAAAAGTAATACGTTATATTTCTTTCTACCAGATTTCAGGCTATTAACACAGATCTTCTTCCTTCAATCCAAAGAGATTTTTTTGATCAGGCTTATATTAGATACTCATTTAGCAGAAATTAGCTCATGAACTCCCAAATAAAACCCAGAACTGAACAATTCAAAATTCAGCCAAAGAAAATGTTGTTTAATACCTGATATTATTATTGATAGAAAGAAACTAAAAATCAAGTTTCATTTGCTGTCAGTGTGATGGTTATTTGAAAAGTGATGCCTAATGGACACAAATAATTTCTCATTCTGTAGGAGAAGAACATGATAATTATGAGCGGATTTACTCAAGACTCCTGATTAATGAGAAATCACGAAACAAATGTAGTCAGGACACTTAATAAACAAAGTACAATGGTAGCCACACACTATTATATCCATTGAATATAAATAGTGTGCTTACATCGAAAAGGTTAGTATTGACCGTTAATAGTGATCAGCCAAAGATGATAGAGGAGACCACTTAGCTGTTGGGAAAATAAAATGGTGGGCTGGTGGGGCAAGAGGGGGTCAGTCTGATTGATTTGTCTTTCACCTCGATAAGGCAGGTGAAGGAGGGGCAGATCTTCCAGTCATTAATGAAGGCATCGACCTCATGAGGTTTGTATCAGGACGCTCAGTGGATCTGGAGCGGGTGGCGGTCCGCTCAAGGAGAGGCCGTTGTTCTGTTGATCTGGATCTGTGATATGGCTGTCTATTTGCTGCTTCGCAATCCCTGAAATGTTAGTCAGAAAGCAGCTCAGTTGGTCTGCAGTGCCCTTCCACTGTTTGATCATGATGCTTCAAACTGACTTTGAAAAAGGTAATCTTTAAAAACTATTGGCTAGGTAATTTGCTTTGTTCCCCCAACATATTCTGAGTAAATATTTACTAAAAATTCTTGAGGCTTTTATAAGGAATCAAATGTGCTTTAACAGCAAGTTCCGGTGAGGATCATACAAGTTCTTGCTCAGCTCTGAATAAAGATGAACAAAACTGTTTTCCAGAATGAACTCCTTAGAAAGAAACATGTCGGCTAAGTGAAGTATTTTAGAAGAACTCAGCGACTCATCCTAACATTTTCTAAACAGTGACTTAAATCATATAACCACCAATTCTGAATGCCCTGAAATTATCCATCAGTCTGCCAACAAAAACATAAAGAGGTTTTTAGCACAATAATAGTACATAGATAACACCTTCTTCAAACATAGGAATTAAAATGAGGTTTTTTTATTATGCATTTAAAATTTTTACTGTTATTATTTTCCACAATCCAGTTTTGTAGGTACAGGGATTTCATGCTCCAGGTTTTAAGGCAATAGTGCAACTCCGCTCCCTGCAGCCATGTTTAAAAGGGTCCACATGTGAATCTTTAAAAGCCATAATGGATACTGACTGAAACAGTATGTGTGAAATAATGGGATCTCTGATTGTAAATAAATCACATATCAAAATTTTATTCCTGTCTAAGGCAGTATACGTAACATTAAGTAACCTATCAATACTGATTTTTGTATCCCTATATTTTCACATTTAGGAAGGTCAATAACACTTCCTAACCAGAACCTCATAATTTGTGTAATAGCTCTAAAAACTCCATCTTAGTCTCTAGAACTCAAACTTGATGCCTAGTACCAGAGTATACTTCTAATCAAATTATTACTCCCACACAACTATATCCACAAAAATACCAATTATTTATTTATTATAGACATTCAAGCAAGCATTAATGATCTCCAAGACTAATGTATCAAGGACTTCTACTTGACCTATAAATTCCATAAATTTCATTTTTTAATAACAATGCAAGCAATTCAAAGAGAACAGCAGGACACAACACAATATCCCTAGTATCATAAACTAGATGGCATGCAATTTTGGACCTGTAAATATTAGGCTATATGATTTTCAAAACTGAACACCAGCTTTATTTTGTATCATATCTTCTGATTATTTTAAATTTTAAAAACATAACATAACTTAAAAGACAATTTATAAACATTTTAAGTTCACACATCATTGTTGTTCTAAGATAGATTTAGTACTTTCTGGGTAAGAATATCCAGACATATCAAAACAACTGAATGTAATATACAATATTGAATATAGAATACTGAAGCACTAGTCATAGGGAAATGAAAAGGTAAACTTAGAGAGCAAAAACCACAACTTACTTTTTGCTTCTAAAAAACTACTTTGGAGACAACATTTTTCAAGAAATAATTATTTATAGCTTGTTACCAGATTTTAGTGTAGCATTTTATGTGTCTTCATCCCAAGGAGGCATCTGTTTATCTACCCACTCATCCATCATTCTTCTAATATTTATTGAAAAAACAAGTTACACAGAGACGGAAGAGAGAGAGCTCTTCCTTCTGCTGACTCACTTCTTAAACAGCCAGAACAGCCAGAGCTGGGCTACTCAGAAGCCAAGGAGCCTGGAGCTTTCTCCAGGTTTTTCTCACAGGTGCAGAGGCCCAAGAACATAGGCCATCCTCTGCTTCCTTCTAGGCACATACGCAAGGAGTTGGATCGGAAAGCAAGGAGCTGGGACCTGAATCAGCTTCCATATGGGATGCTGGCCTCAGAAGATTTATTAGACCATGGCACCGGCCCCACTCATCATTCCTATATATGCATTTCTTAAGTTCTTTCAATCCTATTTTTATGAGTTCCAAACTTTATATTTATTTAAATATTTGTTATTATGAGTTAATAGTTTTCTCATGAAATATGAAAAGCCTTTGGTGTATCTATTATCAGTGAGATTCAGGACAATATTTTATTTCTTTTTCCAAAATTTGAGATGTTCTGACAGCATCTAGGAATTTTTCAAAGTGAAAAGTAAAATATAAGGATATACTGTTTCACTTCTTTGATGCTGTGTTATTTGTAATAGCTGAAGCTCAGGTAATTATTTCACATAAGTTGCTAATGTTTTTTGTCTTCAAAAGGGTATTATTATTTAAAAAATAAAGAGACCGCTGTTAAAATCCCTTATAAAATGCATCTCTTTAGTAAAATTTGCTTGAAACTATTTGCCTACCTTTTAAATTTCACTTACATTTTTTCTCAGATATTACTAAGCATATGATTATTACAGTATGATATGAAAATAAGTTAATAAATGAAGCATGAACCACAAGAAGATGGTAGAAAGCTCAGGTTGGGTACAGTAGCCTAATGGCTAGAATCCTCCCCTTGCATGTGCCAGGATCCATATGTGCACCAGTTCATCTCCCAGCTCCTCCACATCCCATCCAGGTCCCTGCTTGCCGCCTGAGAAAGCAGACGACAGCCCAAAATGCTGGAACTCTGCACACATTTGAGAGACCTGGAAGAAGCTCCTTGATCCTGGCTTTGGATCGGCTTGGCTTTGCCTGTTACAGACACTTGGGGAGTGAACCAATGGATAGAAGATCTTTCTCTGTGTCTCTCCTCCCTATAAATCTGAGTTTTCAATTACAGTTAATCTTAAAAAAAAAAAAGGAGAATGAAAAGCTACTCTAAACTCTAATAATACATAATGAAGATCAAGGCAGGCTCCGACTCCTACCACTTAGTAAGATTTAGCTGTGGCTAGGTAAGGACTAAAATTATTGCTGATAAGATTTAAAATATAACTTCCTAAATTAAACACTGCCATAGCATTTCTTTAGGCAATTGATATATAAATCTTGAGAAATTCAACCATTTAGAGAAAGATCAAAACTTAAAAAGGGGAAATAATATGTAGCTACTTGGAATGCTTAAAATATTTTGGTGCCCTAGGGCCTGGCTCCAGGGCCTAACGGCCAAAGTCCTCGCCTTGACCGCGCCAGGATCCCATATGGGCGCCAGTTCTAATCCGAGCAGCTCCACTTCCCATCCAGCTCCCTGCTTGAGGCCTGGGAAAGCAGTCAAGAACGACCCAAAAGTCTTGGGTTCCTTCACCCATGTGCAAGACCTGGAAAAGGATCCCAGCACCTCAGCAAGACACTTAGCTGTCTTTATTTCTCCTCAGCATGACACTTAGCTGCACAGCCAGTACTAATTCAGGTTGCTACAATATTTCTTTCAATTGCCAATCACATAGTCATGATTAGAGAGGGGGTTGATTGTCAGACATCGTTTTTTGTCTTAACTCCTATAGTAATGCTGAGACTTCCATGTATATGCAGGGAATAATTTCACAGTTACGGATTTCAATCTGTCGATTTTCAGAACTTCAACAATCTTCATTTTTTTTTTTCTGCAACAGCTTCCCACTTCTGAAGAAATACTTTAAATTTTAGAATAATATAAAATTATCCAAACTCACAAATTTTAAATTTTATTATCCAAAACTTTTATTTCAACAATTAATTCTAGCACATCTCATAATCTCACTCTCAATTTACTCATTTTCCATTTGATATTTTCTGCCAATACAGATCATCCATTTGTCTTTCTTATCCACTCTACTCTGAGACGAAGCCCCTGAAGAGCTTCCACACTGCACTCAGACTTCCTGCTAATCTAAGTCCTCCTACTCAAAAACTCATCAGAATCCTAATATCTGCTATTGTCATAATTGACTTCTATTAGCATCGAACTTTTATTTAGCGCCATTTCCCTTATCCATTTTCTTCCTGCCTCAACCATTAAAAAAATAGATTTTTTTTTGTTCACAAGCTGTAGCTATGCATTCAGCCCAACTCCTCCCCATCATCCCTAAATCTGTTCTGAAGAACTATCCTCATTTCATTTAGAACATTCCACATATCATATAAACCATAGTTTATCTTGATATAGTATCACACATATTTACCCTGGAGGAGAACTCCAGGTGAGTTCTCCTCACCATGAGGTACATGTTATCTTGAAACCTGGTCTGGAAAATTGAATTCACAAAAATTAATATCACTTCTTTATTTTTACCCCTTCAATAAGGTGGCTTTTGTTCTTACAAGTGTCCAAGTATTCTGATCCAATTCGATGAATAAGGGAGGTTATTTGGACACACTAAGTCCAAAATGGAACTTTGTCAAGTAGGTCAAAGAAGGAAAATGGAGCAAAGGTATTGGGCTAAGGATATTTCTGAAAATAGGTTTAATCTCTGGATTATAATTAGTTAAAGAATGATGTGAACTACAAAGCATAAGGTAAAAGGATCAAGAAAGTGTAGTTCTCTGTTGGGATAAATAAAAAGTAAAGTAACTAAATTAAAAAAAAAAAAAACGTGTGCAATTCTAGAATCCAAGAGTGACCTATTTTAATTAAGTGTTATGACAGTACAATGAGAAGTGGTGATAAAGTTCAGAGTCTGGCTTCGGGAGTGTAGTTGTGCTCAGTTGCATTATATTCAAAGAAACAACAGTTAAATCAAAGACAAGAAGCCCAGAACAGTATGCCAATATATACAAAAGAATGAGCAGATATCTAGGTAAGTTCGTATATTTTCAAAAATTGTCAAAAGTTTGAGTTTTTCATAATGGATCAGAATAAAGATCAGAAGAATGAGTAACAGAAGGTTAATAAAGCAAGAAGCATGATTAAAATCACAGTAAAATACGGAAATGTTATTGAACTGAAAACTCAGTGCAACATTTACTATTCCTGTGAAAGAGGCATGAGATAGAATAGGCAGGGCGAGCACAGGAAAGTGCCCGGTTTGTAACCAAATGTTCTGAATAGCAGTTTGGGTAGTAGATTTAACAAATGTCCATTTTTATTACATTGCTTTTAAACTTAAACATACTCTTATGTATGGGTCAAAATTATGGGAGGAAAATACTATCTAAAAATATATATATTAAGGGCAATCATTTAGCATTAGCAGTTAGTACACCAGTTGGGACACCTTTGTCCATATCAGAGTCCCTGGGTACTAGCCAAGCTCTAGCTCCTAACTCCAATTTTCTATTAATGCAAAATCTAGAAGAAGGCAGTGGTGGGTTAAGCCACTTGAACCCTGACACACAAATGAGGACCTAGATTGTGTAAATTCAACTTCCATCTACTGTTGACAGTTTTTAGGGGAATGAACCAGCAGATGGAAGTGCTATCTTACCATCCATCCATTTCTTCATTTTCTTAAAGAAATAAGAACAGAATTCCTGAAAAGCCCACCTAAATTGTTAAGAGATAGATGTGCATTCAGGCCCTCAGGGTTTCATCACCCTAGACCATGGTGTGTGCAGTTTACTACGAATAAGATAATGCATATGCATGCATAAGTACATAACAAATCTTACACATATGAAACCTTATTTTTTCTAAAACAGATTTCCTGGTGCCAGATTTAAAGATTAAACATTACATGTACAAAATAATAAATAAATTATAAAGTTAATGATCATGTGTTTCCATCCACAGACCAAATCATGGCACAAAAACACAATTCATACATGCTCCCTTTGAAACAGCATGTTAGCCTGAGGTTGAGAACCATTTGAATGAGAACATGAAATTAATGATCAGTTTAGAACTGAATAACTGTTTCTGTCTACACTGATGAACTAGAAAACTGAGAAAAATGAAGACAATGTACTTGCCTTCATTTCAATGAAAATATGAACAATACAAAGCACAGCAAAAGAAATAAAATATATGGTTTTAACGAAGAGATACCCAAATAAACAGAATGACTATGACAAATAATCTCATTCATGCATGCCACCCACCTTAAGAAAAGTCTCATCCAAGCAATTGAATATAAGTATATAACTAATTTTTCAGTTTTGTAAGAAAACTGTATAATCATTACAATAAAAAATGGAAGTTCATATACAGCAAGAAAAAATAACTTAAAATAATGATTTAGTATCGAAGCAAAATAACAAAGACAAAAAACCCTCCCACAAAAGCACAATAGAATCAGACACAGCAATAAACACTAACAATAATTAAGCTAGAAGGCACTAATATTTAATTCCATTTATAGAAATGCATCACATAATTCAAACTATCAGTAATGCACTGCCATTGTCATCTCATATTTTCTTCCAGATTTACAACATGAATTCAATCCTTAGCGTTTTATTCATTAGTTTCGTCTTTTTCTATTTAAGAACTCCTAATTAATGAATTTAATAGGGACAAATAAAGTCACACATAACCTCCAATTAATCTAAAACAATACGAAGCCATTAAATGTGCATAATTTCTGATCTATATTATAATTCCTCATCTCAAACAATGATACATTATCACATCATTCTATTTACCTACATGTTCTGAAATTGTTACTATAGAACCAGTTTAAATCCTTAGAGCTACGCATTCTTGAGAATTTTATGAATATCGCAGATTTTCATCTGCTTTTCTTTCTAGTCCATACTTGTTTCTGATACTGACAGGTACTTGATATTTCTCTCCACAACAAACTATATTTCTTGGAGTGATTTAAACAATTAACTAGAGATCGTTGCATCTCATATCAGAATGCATGGTTCTGCTCCAGATTCCTGTCCATGCATACTTTGGGACAGTAGGTGATGATTTAAGTATGTGGGCCGTGGCACCTTTGTGGGAGATGTGGACTGACTGTTCAGTACCTGGATTTAACCTGAGCCAGTGTTTGTGGAAATTGAGGAAGCTGACTCTCTCTCTCAGGATGTGAACTCTCAGGATACAAACTCTCTCTCTCTCTCTCAATCTCTCTGTCTCTCTTTCAAATCAGTAAAATAATCTTTTAAAATTAAACCATATATCTTTAAGGTCTTGGAGATGTAGCATCTATGACCCACGGCAAATTCTCATGTAGAAAAGAGAAACAGCAAAACAGTGGTGGTGTAGAAGGTTCCGCAGACTCAGTGTTAACAGATGTGGGGACACCAACTGTGATCAAGGACTGGAGTACAGTCACCTTTGACAAGGGAGCAATGAACAAATCAGTTTAACCTAACTACTCTAAACACTGACTCTACCTTTAACAGGTTGTTAAGACATGTACAAATCAGTGCTGAATAAATATCTAATTATGAACTCTGTTGAGAAAGGCAGACAATCAGCTGAAATAAATTTCAGAAGAGTACTTCTCTGTTATCCATGTAGATAACAAAGTTAATTTTTACTTCTGGAAAGCTAAAATTGTAATGCAATTAAAATAATCATCATCAAAGAGAAGCTTTATTTTTAATATCCTCTTACAATTAAATAGCTCTTAAACATTTTATTTCCAACTATTGTTAAGGATAATCTTCCTGTACTTAAAAAATATAGGAAAGGATAAAAATTAAATATATCTTATCAGTATACAAGTACATGCAATTCTACAAACAGACTCAATTGTAAGGAAAAAAAATACCTGCCATCCCTGTGATGATGTTCAAAGGTCTTACTGTATCTGGAGCGAGGTAGAGTAAGAAAATGACTGAAAGCATGGCAAAAACAAGAATATAAATGAGACTTAGAAAAGAAGGGGAAGGGTAAAGCTTAACTTTAAAAGTGAGATTCAAAAAGAAGAGCAGGCAATAAGCAAAGCAAATAAAAATTACAGCTGGAAAATTTGTCCTTTTCTCCCAGTGTCTTCCTAATATGGCAGATTTTTAAAGTTAGCTCTTAAAAGGGGTATGGGAGGGGTGGGGGGAATCCCCAGTGCCTATAAAACTGTATCACATAATACAATGTTAACAACAATTTAAAAAAAATGTATTATTAATATTAACTAAATAAATTTATTGGAATGTTGTATATTTCCATTAATATACATTAATTATATTTATTATTACACAATTTAATGAATTTCATGCCTCATGATTACCGTAAGAAATCAAAGCAGCACCCTGATTCTTAATTGTTTGTAGTTGATTCTTTTTCCATAGCACTAAATTAAAATTTTCTATTAAACTTTTTAATGCTAAAACACTCAATCCTGGAATAGATGATTATTATCTTTCAATAAACAATAGAAACAAATCCTGAACTCTCTCAACTTGGGTGCTGAAGATCCTCAATTTTTTAATATTGCTCTCTATTTCTCTCTATCTTGTATCAATTAGTATTTGGTTTTTACATTGAATTACTCCCACTTATGGTAAATGAATATTTGTAATTAAGTCCTCTTCAATAAATGAGTTATTTATCATAAGAAATCACCTTTAAAAACACACACACAATACTACCTCTAAACCTAGAATGTGTGTGCTTGTAAATCTTTACTTGTCTTAGTCAACAAAGAAGACATGTCTCTATTGGATACTGCTTATCACATGACCTAACTTCACTTACAATTAACTCCTGCCTTCCTCATTGTTCAATTTCACCAAATTCTAAAAACAAAATCTTTGCTAATCTTGACTCCCTCTCTAGGGAGTTAGGGTTAGGGTCTAGGGAGTCAAGAGATCGTCTCTCTCATTTGCTTTTCATCATAAAATGTTTGAAAACAAATCTGTTAATTCTTGTTGCCTCTCATTCACTTCCTATTCTTGCCTTAAGCTTAATATGATTTGATTTTTATCTTTATAGTTTCCTTGAAGCTATTCAAGACTGGTCCCTGAAACATCCTTCAGGCTACTCTTGATGTTCATTGCATCACACTACACTTGCCTATGGCAAACTCCTTGATTTTTAAGCTTATATTTTCAGATCCTGTGCTCGCTTGGTTTCTATAGCATTGCTCCCTCTGACTGGTATCAAAGCATCTGCTTCACACAGAACTATCTGATAACCACTCCTTTAAAACTTTTGTCTACATTGCTTCATAACTGAAGTAGATTCAACTATTTCCACATTCCCACAGAAAGACAAACTGAATATGAGTAGTACGGGTAAGTTTCAAAATAGGTTGCTTCTGAAATTCACAGTGCAGGCTGATACCACCGGCACACAAGGCTTGCTTTCCCACCAGGTGCCTTCTTTACTCATTGCATTTCCTGAATTCCCTGAGTCAGTTACCCACAGGCATTTGCTTTCCAAGATTCATTCCTTGACCACCTCATACGCTAACAGATTATTTCCGAGGAATACTATTTATTTTTACAGTGTGAGCTACAACTTCACTTTAGACTTGATCTCTCACTGAATCGTACAGCACATTTCGGGTGGAGTCTTCACATGGTGTTTGTATGTCATACAGGCATTTCAGCTACACACACATTAATTGCGAGCCTTACCTCACTTGGCCTATCTGGATATCTGGTGAGATACATTTGTGAAATGAAGGAGTTTAATGTTGGTTTTCTGAATTTTTCTAAATACAATAATACTTGGTTTCAAACAATATTTGATGCAGAATCAGATTTATATGAATCCGCTAGAATCAAATAGACTGGCTAAAACAGAATGAGGTGCCCAGATCCTTACCCAGCATGTCTTTCTCAGCTATCTTATCAGCCTACAGGCTCCTTTATGGAACTTTGAATCCAGTCATCTCTGCCATATTACACAGTCATCTCTTAATTTAAAACATAAATTTTTAATCACCTTTGGAATTTAAGAATACTTCACCCATCATTCTTCCTACAAATCTATTTTTAAGTAAGGGCTTAGGTAGTTACATAATAAAAAAATTTAAAATCTCAGAATTCAAAACTCCTATTTCCTCATTTTCCAATATAAAAAAAAAAACCAAGTACCAATTCTTTCTATTCTGAAGCACATTTGATATTCATCTTCTGGTACTTTCCATTATCAAGATCACTACTTTTCTTCACACACAACAGACTTTCTAAAGTTCTCTAAATACTTCATGTAGTTTCCTGATTTCAGAACTTCACTCATACTATCCAGTGTGGAGAATTCCCATCTTTCCTCTCCTCCCTTCTTTCTTATTTCAAAATTCTACTCAGCTTTGAAGTTCAGCTTCTCATTGACACTTTTTCTAGCAGAACTCAAAAAGCAGTTCCTTCTCTAATCTGTTCCAATAATAACATGTGTCTGCTTCAAAGTCTTCAACATTTTATAATTGATTGGTGCATAATTTGTCTGTCTAGATCAGGATAATGTTTTTTATATGTTTATTCATAATAGATGACCCAATAAAAATAGCTTAAATAAGTAAAACCAAGGGGCCTGTGTTACAATACATCGGGTTAAGTAGCCAGCTTAGACACAGGCATCGCCTAGGAGCACTGTCACAGCCGCACCACTTTCCATCCACCTCCGTGGTAATGCGTCTAGGAGGACAGTGGAACATTGGCACATTGGCTTGACCGCCTGCTACCCACGTGAGAGACCTGAAAAGAGTTCCTGGCTCTGGCTTCAGCTTTGCTTAGTCTGGCTATGCTGATGGACCATTTGTGGCATGAACTAGCAGATGGAAGACTGCTTGCTGCCTCCCTCTCTCTGGAACTACATTTAAAATAGATAATAGTTACATTTAAATAAATAAAGACAATGTTACAATGCCATGATGAAACTTTCTCTGAAGAGAGCTGTTATTCACATACCACAGAAACATTTAGAAATATAAACAGAAGATTATGTGCCTACGTAGTCTAAGAAAATGAGCAGGCATTATTAAACAAAGCTATCCCAGTTTTAAAAAGAACAGAAATAACAACTGTTAAAATACGGGATGTACTTCTTTTCAAAGGTAAAGTTCAAAACTTATTGAAACAGGAGAATTGGTGAAACATATATTATCATACAATTTCTAAGATTTTCCCTAGAGTTTTGTAATTAAATATGCTACTATAAAGCACAATAAAACACTAATCAGAAATCACATTTATCAAGCATCAGTTTGTTTTATTTTTCTTTCTCATCTCTAGTCACATGAGTTCTTAACCTTACATGTCATGATCTTCTTTGAGCTTCCATTAAAACTATGAAAAAAATATATAAGCATTATTTTAAAAATCCTTCTGTTTTAGCAAACCCTCTAAAATCTACCTAACATCTACTGATGTATCCAAGTTGCTGCACCCACTTTGTATGCTTAAAAGCCACCTTGCATTTCCTCATTAAGCCATACTTACTTACATTTCTGCCAAAGTTAGTATACAGCATAAGACCTTAAAAATAACGCTGTATATTAAAAATTACATTTAGCCAAATCTATCTTAATTTTTCAAAGAATCTCAACAGAGCATTTATCTAATACAAAAGAAAACTAAGAAATCAATACACAAAACTTTGAAAAGCAGAAAACAAATCACAATCATGATTTAAGAATGCTATTATTGAGAGAACTGAACTAGATAACCCATTTGGCTTCAAAACATACTTTGATTCTTAACAGCAACACAAATCATAAAGAATTATTAATTGGATTATCAATAGAATTATCCATCTAGCTTCATTCCTAACCCAGCTCCCTACTAATGGAATAGAAAAGGAGCAAAGCATGAACAAAGTCCATGAACAGAGCATGAACATGCAAATCAAGAAGGAGCGCCAGGTCCCTGGTTTCAGCCTGGCCCAGTTCTTGTTACTGTGGCCATCTTGGGCATGAGTTAGCAGATGAAACATCTCTCTACCTCCGTAACCCTGACTTTCAAATAAATAAATAAAACGTTACACAAAAAAAATTAACATATAATTCAATTATACATAATGTACATTAAAAGAATATGAAAACTAATCTGCCTATAACACTCAAATTTATGGTACCCAAGTATTGTCGATTAAGATGGAATGCTTAAAATTGGTATTATGTTACAGTAGGTTGAGCTGTATATATAATATTGACATCCCATACTAACATTGATTTGAGATGGCATTCATCCATTTTCCATCCAGATTCCCAATAATGTGTCTGGAATAGCAGCCTAAGATAGTCCCTGTTACCCACATGAGGACTCAGATGAAATTTTACGTTCCTGGCTTACAGTTGAGGGGCTGTTGTGGACATCTGGGGATGAACCAGCAGATGTAATAGATCTCTTCCTCTTTCTTGTTCTTTTCTCTCTCTCTCTCTCTCCCCCCCGCCCCCCTCCCCCGTGTTACACTGTCTTTCAAATAAATCAATAAACCTTTAAAGAAAAAAAAGATCAAACAACATTATTTCTGATTCAATATAATCAGCATTGTATTCACACATAACTTTTCAATGCGTGTATCTCTTAATTCTTCATCCTTTACAATGGGACTGTATGATACGCAGAAGCAATCCATCTCTGTATCTTTGCTCTCCTTTCCCAGGCATGAAGGTACAACTCACATTGTACAATTTCTATAAAACTCAAAACTTGTATTTATTACTGTGGCTGTGGTAACTGATTTGTTTTTCCTAAATTATTAAGCACATTAAATGTGAATTATTAGCAAATTAATAGATTCTTTTCAAGCACTTAGAGTAAGGCACATTTTGAGCATATGCTGTACTTTTACAGACACTAAGTCAGTTAACTTACAGAATCCTATATAGTTGGTAATAATATTCTAATTATGGAAATCAAATTTTAGATGAATTTCCAAAACTGCATTTAGCAAGAGTTAAAATCTTTTAGGTTCAAAAAATAAAACATTTATTTCCAAATCACATGCTTCAATAGTAGACTTTTCTACTCGAAGACATCAGCTTTTACTGATAACGAAGTCAGAAGACAATACCATAATTATAGTCATTTTTCTTTCATCATTATTATACTTAGTAAACATTCCCTTTTTTAGGTAGTATATCTATTATTGCTCCAGAAAATACAGATCACCATGGAAATCTTCATCTAATTAAACATACATAAGATACTATCTTAGCTTGAATCTGATACTGGTACTTTTACTAATTTAATAGTGCAACAACTTCTTGGATGCCAAGCGCTGAAGTCAACATTTGTTTGGCACTTCTTAACAATTCGATAGCTTTTACCCAGGCTTCTAGGGATGTATGCTAACAAAGGCATTATAAGCACAAATTCAGTGTAACCCTTGATTTAGACAAACAATTAAATCTGTAAATACTGACAGTAATTTTTCACATCAATTGATTTGAAAGTTCTCAGGTGTTCATAAAAAATTGGTTTAGGAGTCATATAAAAGAGTTTTTAATTTCCTCATTATAAAATCATTTGCTTTGAACAGTAACTTTTTTCCCAATCGCACACTCATTTGATAGTTTGGAGAGAAAATATGACAGGACTCATTTTATATATAATCAAAACATGAATTAGAGTAAAATGATTAGCTTAAGTTTAAAAAATTGTGAAGATTGTAATAATCCATGTTACCTTCAAATATATCACATTTAATGAAACAGATTCAGAGAATGCTTCAAAATACAGCAATCAGCAAGCATGATTGTTTAAGATACTTAAAATGTTTACAGAAAGCCGTGAGTAAAAAAACTCTTCATGAATCATGATAAGCTGCTTCCTGATCAAACCAGACTCTGTTCAATCCTATATAAAAAGGCACGATGACTTCTCCGAGAAACAGAAAAGACTTTAAATTCTGATGCCTCACAAAAACGTTTTCATAAATAACTGATCATGAAAAAATAATATAACATTTTGTTTTCATTATAATTATCTTATAATATTTTGTGAATTTAATCTTTGATTTAACAAGGGATTAAAGTTCCTAAAGCAAGATGGTTTTGTTTTTACTCAACAAAAAAATATAGGTGTGTGTGTATGTGTTTCCCAATGGGGAAGGCCTAAGACAGAATGTGGGCATTGTAAAGGAAAACATGATTTTAGAAACTATGACAAAGAAATAGGCAAAAACATTTTCTATAATTCCTTGCAGAAGACAGTGACTATCGTAAGAACTAGATAATCAGATTTACCTGTCTCTGTCTGGAGAGTAGTGATCATCCATGACACGGTGTCTATCCATCCGGCTAATTGTATTATAATGTCCGGTAGTTGTTCGGGTCCCTCGAAGTCCCTGTTCCACATTCCGACTGAAACAGCAAGATCCATTAAGTATCTTAGGAAGCCATAATCATATACATTAGGTAATGTTTTTAATTAACACATACAGTAGAGAACGACAAAGCAACTTCAATGTCGTCTACTTTTCTGTTTTTGTTTAACTGTTTTGTGTTCAAGATTAACTAGACCCATGACTAATGGAATGAATTTCAGTTAAAAACTGACAATCAACCAAGGATATTACTAGTATAATAGCAACACAACATTAAAGGGCCTAAAATAAGCTAGTATCAACAGCGATAAATAAGGAGTATCAAAGTTAACTAATGGATGACTCTCAATTCTTTAGCAGTGATATTCCATGACATGATACACAAGAGGAGTATGTGTATGTAGAAAAAATGAGTTGACAGTTTGTTTATAAGGCTATAGGAATGGGAATATGTGATGTGTCTCATAGGTGGTTGGACATAACTGAGAGCCCAAGACAACAAGTCAAACTCAGCCTGCTTCTGACCTGCCTCACTTGCTAGCACCCTAGAGCAAAGCGCAGTGTTCATGTACATACTGTATTACAAACATCTGCTGTCTTGCTTTCTTCCTTATTTCATCCATCATGACACATGGGTACACTGTAGCTACAGTCACCTAAAGTGTATTTTGCTTCAGCGCTAACTCCTCTACCATGACACACAGCAGCTCCCTGAAACATAATTAAGATCATGCTATCTCATGGCACAAGCCAAAACACATAAATTAAATTTTTAAATATTTGACTTCAATTAATGAGCTACTTTTCTGTATTTTCCCACTCTTTTCCGAATTAATTTGTAATGGCAAATTTATATTAAGCCCACACATATTATATAAATTGAAACAGAAATTATGTATTTATGTTGCATTAACTGCTCAATATGTTTATTATTATGGGATAGCGGTAAAAATTTCTTGCTCTTCAGATTTACTCATTTATGCTTTTTTATCCTGCCATATCAATTTCAGAATGGTGACAGGTTTTTGAAAATTGTACACTGTATTTTTAAGTTATAATTTAATTTGTGAAGAATTAATTTCTTTATCATATTAAGCCATTCTACCCATGATTAAGGCATCTTTTTCGGTTATTCCTTACCATTTTACATTTTTCTTTAAAAAGATCTCATTAATTATTAGCAAATTTGTACCTTATGTTTGAGAATAATGCTTGATGCATGTCTTACTATATTTTCTAGCTTGTTAAGTTTGTAAGCTTTGTTAAGTTTATCTTTGGCCAACTATTTTATCTATATGGCTATATATGAAATGTATGCCTCACGCAAGTGTTAAAACTTTTATTATATTGAGCTTTCATCTTATTCATTCACCTCCCAGGCCAAACAACAAAAAGATAGAGGAGAGCTCTTCCATCCATTGGTTTATTCCCAAATAGCCACAGCAGCAAGCTCCAGGACAGGCTGAAGCCAAGACCAGGAGCACCATCCTGTCCTATGAGGGTGTCAGGGGTTCAAAAGTTGGGCCAGCTAAGGTATTTAAGAGGAAGTAGGATCTGAAGTGAAAATAAAGTAAGTTAGGACTTGAACTGTCATTCCTATATGGGGAGCCAGCATTGCAGAATGTGGCTGAACCCACTATGCTATTAACGCTGGGTTTTTGGTAGATAACTATAAAATAAAAAAATAATTATCTTTCTTTTCTTTCCAAATCCTTCCATCTATTCTTCTTCTCTGCTTAATGGATTTTTCAAGACATCAAGTACTACATTAAACAGTGACAGTAAACATGAGCATCCATTTCTTGTTTACATTATTAATATAAATGACTCCAAACATTTCCATAAGTACATTGTAAGGTTCCATTTATATTGCCAAGTCTTCATGAATACCAAGTGGTTCTCCTTCCTTCCTTCTTTCTTTCCTTCTTTCTTTCCTTCCTTCCTTCCTTCCTTCCTTCCTTCCTTCCTTCCTTCCTTCCTTCCTTCCTTCCTTCCCCGTTCTTTCTCTTTTTTGAAGATAATTCATTTGAAAATCAGAGTTTCTGTGTGAGAGAGAAACAGAAGGCCAGAGCCAGAAACTTATTCAGAGATTCCCACTTGGGTAGCAAGTGAAAAATCATCTCACTGGCTGAAGTGGCACTCCAGAATCAACGAGCCCTGCATCTTCTGACCACAAGCAAAGGAGGGAACCTGTGTCTTCCTACAGGAACAGTGTTGATGAATCTGACTTAGTAGAAACTGGGATAAAAAAATCTCCAATCGATAAGGGCAAAAATTCAGCTTTTAACATCTGGGAATCCCCCCTAGTAACCTGGTTCATGCCTATACTAATACCAATAATAGTTATAGGTCTTTCATTAACAATTGCCCCTTGTTTTCTAAGGTTCGCCAAAGAAGAAAATCCTTGAAGCCTCATGAGTTACTCTCACCTCTCAACTGTTACTCCACCCCTTCATTACGGTGCCCAGGGAGCCCTCTCTGGACCACAATTAGGGACGACACCCCTCTCCAGCAGAAAGTAGCCAGAACGACTTCATCACCTCTTTCCTATTACCAAGAGTCTGGAATGATGGCTACCCAGGGCACTGGAGGCGAAGGGCTAGGTCTGCTCTAGACCCGGCAAGTCTCCTAGGCTTCAGCCCAGAACAGGAAGGGCCACAAGAGCCAGTTACGTCATTGGCCTGGCAGGATTCCAGCCAACCAATGGCACACCTGAATGGGAATGGACATTCCTTACATAATTGGGGCATAGACAGCCCCTTTGCCAGCCCACGTGTCTAGAGGAGTATAAAACTCCTGGACACCTATCTCAGCCTCCCTTTTCGTCTCCTTCTTCCTTTCATTCTGTGCAAAGGGGTCCCAGGAGTGGATTTTCCAACAAAGCTTCCATTACAAATAAAAGGAAAAAAACCTCCTACTAGAAAGAGTAGAGGTAAGATAATATTATCTCTATTTAACACACCTTTCTGTTTGATTCTGCCTTTGAAACCAGCTGTGTAGCACATTAATCTGCTCTTGGAAAATGCCCTGTGACATCTTCTTATTTTTGACTTCTTTTCTCTGAGTGGGCATGGGGAAAGAGTTGTTTGCTCAATTTATGAACGAATTGCTGATTTTCTTTTCCTTTTTTTTTTTTGGTATCAACCTTGTTTGGTATTTTATAGATTTTAAGAACTGTAACTATTTTATCTGAACTAACAAATTTAATAACATAATAATAATTTTAGAAGTCTTTTTTCTTATTTCCTTTTGGACTTTTATGAGAATATAATAATTGCATACAGTTTTGGGATACAATATGCTATTGCAACAAATGTATGCAATATATATATATATCACGGATCAAGAAAGGGTAATTAGCTTTTCTATCTTCTAAAGCTCATAGTATTTATTTTGTTAAAGTACAATCTTTCCTATCTGATTTCTATAGAGATTTCATTCCCATTGAAGAGATGTTGAATTACATTGAAAGGTCTTTTCCCTGCATTTATTAAGATGATCACATGATTCTTACCCTTCCTTCTATTGATGTGACATGTTTTGATTTGTTTATGCTGCACTTATGTTGCATAGCTGAGATAAATTCTTGAACTTATGGTGAATGAACTTTCTGACATGTTTTTTTATTTGATTTGCTATTATCGTGTGGATAATTTTTGCATCTATGTTCATGGAAATAGGAATTTTCAAGGAACATGGGTTTTTTTCTTTTGTCTTTGTTTTACTTGACCATCAGACCAATGCTGGATTTATAGAATGTGTTTGTAGAAGTTCCCTTCATTTCAATGGTTTTAAATTATGTCCTCAATTTCAATATATAACTAAAATCTGGCTTTTAAGTATTTTGAGATCTTATCTTATAGGTCATCCAAGGTTACAAAGAAACTCATAATCATTTTATAGCCATTACATAGATTACTGAATAACATTGTGTTTCTCTGTAAAATTTGTTTCTTAAGAATTACTTTTTACAGATTTTATTACTATACTTGTTGATTAAAGGCCCCTAGTGCTACAAATAACATGTGCCTGCTTTCTTACCTTTGTGGAGGAGGGACACTAGGTGACCATGATCTAGTCCTTCCTATAACATCTACTCTGTGAGGAGATCCTGATGGTGAACAATGGTTTGATGACATCACTTGTTCTGGCACTGATAATGTTGAGCTCTGAAGATCTCTACCATTGTGTCGATAATCTAAAGGTAGAAAATAATTATTGTTATTTTCACAACACATCCTTTGTGCATTTTACGTATCACTGAAGGATATAAAATGCTGGTGACACTGCATGACTTTACTAAATGTAAATTCAATTTCCTCTTATTTATTGTGAAATTATTATGCAGCTGTTTTAGAATAGAAAATCTAAAATTTTTCTGTGGCTAGCATCTTTCTTATCTGGCATATTTTATTAACTGGTATTATTTAGGAGCTTAAGTTGCCCTATTTTGGGGGGGGGGTCTGTGTTATGGCACAGTAGGTCAAATACTGATTATGATACTGACATCCAATATCAGAGTGCTAGCTGGAGACCTGGTATCTCTGCTTTACATCCAGTTCCCAGCAATGAGCCTGGGAGAGCAATCAAAGATATTCCAAGTACTAGGAACCCTGCTACCCACATGAAGGCCTGGGTTGAATTCTGTGCTCCTGGCATTGGCCTGAATCAATGGAGGCTACTGTGTAGTGAACAAGCAGATAAATTCCTTTCTTTCTTTGTGTCACTTCATGTTTCAAGTGAATACAAACATACATATATACATACATACATACATAAATCATTAACTGCCATATATTATTCTAAAGATTTTTAGGATTGTGAAAAGATAAATTATTTCTATTTTATTTATTTACTTTAGGGTAAATAGCCATGTAATACACCTAATTGCAATACTATAAAACACCCTAAAATTTGTACCTGACACAACGCCAATTCCATCATCACAGTCATAGTCAGAGACTTCACTGTCACTTATTCTCTTTGACCCTATGAAGAAAAGAGTACCAATTATTAAAATAGCTGATTATTTCAGAGGATAAAAAACCCTAACCGACTGAAAAACAGATGAAAATATTTTTAATACTTGAGAATAAAAATTAGAGAAGAAACATCATTAAAGCTCACTGATTTTCACACACATTTCACAATATGAGCTTATGCATTATGAAGTAATAACAATTCACAAGAATTACTCTGAAAATGTATATGATAAGATTCTTAAATTGCTTAAAGCTTGAAATAATATTGAGTGTTATATGATACACTTTAATTAATTGAAAATGATTGATAAAACTTTTGGAAAATGTACAGGTTAATTTAGACGCACTTGGATTAAGCATTTCAGCCATTTCAAAACAATGTGTTATTTTAAAAAGTATTCACGTGTCTTTTCTAACATACATGATTACTAAATCAAAAATATTGTTATTTATTATTTATGCTGATTGTGGCATGAAAACACAATTCAGAAAAGTAAACTCACTTAAGACATATTAAATTTCCATATTTTTACCACTCATTTCAATTAAGAAGATAATCATAAATAAGCAGAAAATAAATCCCTTTATGTTATTAAATGTGTGATGTTTTCTAATATCCGAAGATGATATCCATATTTATTGAAATTCAGGTGTACTACGTATGTATTTTACTTACAAAGACATCTTTAACAACACTTTAAAATATTCATTTTACCTTGGCAAAAACAGCACCATATTAAAGTACTCATACAACTTTGGCAGTTAAAGCAGATTATGATTTCAAAATTATGAAATATATTATATATAGAAATTCCTGTATTTTTTTATATTTTCCTTTTCCTTTATGTGCCTCAGGAATAGACACAACATACATAATAGAATCTTCTACTAAAGTGTTTTTTTCCCTTCTCAATATCAGAAAATGTTAAATGATGAATGAAAACAGTGTTTCCACTCTTAAAAAATAACTTGTTTCCTCAGTCTTCTTAGACCACACATTCTTTATGAAACATATGGAACTAAGCTTCATTAGAACGTAAATGTTTGCTATCTTCAGTTATAAAATACTGAGCACTCAGTGTGCATGGTGCCTAAACCAGAGCTAATCAAAACGTTTCATAACAGCCCTTCAGACTTACAGCCTACTTTCAGAAAAATCATATACATTTTTTCCTTTAATCCTTGCTCGTTATAGGAGGGAGAGTTTCTGTTGTCAAAAACTAAAGTTCTCATTTCTCCTTTCAGTGCTTAGGTGGAAGGCACCCATCCATTATCACCCCTCCCACTCATATTGTCATTTTCCTTCACACCGTAATGTTGAAAAGCTCAGACTCAATCTACTCTGACGTTTTTACAGATCGCAATGAAACTGAAGTTCCAATAGAGTGTTTACATGGATTTAAAACACGGGAAGAAGGACTTAGATGGAATTACTGAGGACATTTAAGAATAACCACCCACCTTGTCACAATAGCTCAAGGACAAGGTAATGAGTGTATTTACCAAGTACACTACAAAGCATTTCGCTGATAGGCCCTTGGTCTTGATCAAACATTAGATTAAGAATGATGCCAGAAAAGATAATGCTTATATTGTCAAGTTGCAGTGTGTTTGTACTTGCACATTTACGAGGTAAGGTGACATATATGTTCCGTAAATGCTGTTTCCTTCAAGTCTTAGATCTCATAATTTCAATATTAATTCTATTAAGGCTAAATATATTATTTACATTCTATTTGTAGTTTACTTTTTTTGCAGGGGACATTCTGATAATTTCATGTTGTGAAGTTCAATGTCATTAAATATATCAATCTTCTCTTCTAAAACATGTTTTCCACGTATTGTTTAAGAAATGTTTTCTGACTTTATGAGGAGGGAGGTCAGATCCTGTGATTCCTTCTGGAGGTCTAAAGGTTTGCTTTTTGCCTTTTCACCTTCACCACCTTAAATTGAGCTTGTGTGCAATGTAATGACACACAACTCAACACTTTATTTAATATTATCACTTTCCCAATGTGTGATGGACCCTCCCTGCAAAAAAAGTGTCTGCAGGGATCTATCTGGTGCTCTGTTATTTTCCCCCTTGACTTGGCTGTCTGTCTTTAAACCCATAATTTGACCTCTTTATTAATACAACATTACACATGCATTGAAGAGCAAACCAATCTCCCTTATCACTACCCTGGACACTGTCTTTTTGTTCTTCCATGAAAAGTTTATATCAAATTTCACAAAAATTCAGTTAGGCTTAGATATTAACTGAAATAAGATAGTTGCATTAATTTAGGAAGAATTAGCACATACATTTCCTTTATTCTAAGTTTTTTTCATGTCTTTATAAAATTTTCACTTTTGTACACAAAACTGTCTACATAGACTAACATTTTCTTTTTTATCTTAGCATTAGTATTATTATAGGAAACTCTGTTTAAAACTTAAAAATTGCTGAGATACAGATATGTAGCATAATTGTAAAATAATCTTAAACAAACATCTGGTTAAGGACTTGCTCTCTCTACTTTGAAAGGGTGGTTAAAGTTTAGTTTTTGGACTTTTCTGTGTAAGCATTCCATTGTCACAATTCTTAGGCATTTTGTTTACATGCTTTGTTGTTCTGATAAGCACAATGTTGAAAAGAAATAAAACAATTACATTGCTTTTAAGCTCAGACTTTACAATATTCTTGTTAAAGAGGTAATCTTTTGAGGTACATTCTATCAGGGAGAGAAATCTTCATGGCTAAACAGAATAAGACCTTCAAGAATGGCCTACATACAGAAAACAACAATAACTTGTGGTGAGGATGTGGGCAAAAGGTATTCAACCCATTTTTCTTGGGAATTTAAACTGGTACAAACACTATGGAAGTCAGTATGGAGATTCCTCAGACAACTGAAAATAGTTCTATTATATGACCTAGCCATCCCACTCCTGGGGATAGATCCAGAACAAATTAAACATACATGCAAGAGTGGTACCTGCAACCCTATGTTTATAGCAATGCAAGTCATAACAGCTAAGATATGGAAACAGCCCAGTTGGAAATCATTATGCTTAGCAAAATAAGCCAATCCAAAAAAGACAAATATATGAGACAAAGAATACACAGAAAACACACACACACACACACACACACACACACACACACACACACAGTATAAACTCTGCAAGGGAAATCAGCATAGTAGAAAAGAATGAATGTATTCAGCAAGCAAATTCACTACTGAATAATAGGATTTTCATAATTATTTTTAATTATACTTGAATGTTACATTAGTTTTCTTCCCTTTGCTACATTTTTATGTCATGATACATATATATTAAAAACTGAATTCTATAATACTGAAATGAATGGCTATGCCACTATAACAACTTGGAGGCAAATAATAGGAGGGGATATATAGAGAGAAAGGGGGAAGAGAGAGGGGAAGGGATGACTCTCTATGCATGTAAATCTGCATCATGGAAAATAAATAAAACTTTAGATTAAAAAATAAGATATCTTTATTAAATGTGCTATCTGTATCTTCTTAGTTTAAATAGAGATTTTATATTTTAGCTTCCTCATTTAATAAATGTATAACTAGGAGACAAAGGTGTGGTATTGCACTGACCAGTTAACCCAGTAGCAGTCAGGGAGCCACAATCTGAACTCGACCAGAGGACAGAACTCCAACAGCACCAGGTGGGAAGTGGAGTTCACTAGGAGACCAGCAGGTGAACACTGGCAAAGAATTACCTATCCTGGTGAATTGTTTGATTCCACCAAGAGCAAAGACAAAGCAACAAACCCAAACAGGCTGTGCAGGAACAGGGTGAATTTCATAGCCCAGGCCCCCACCAGAGCTGCATTGGATGCCATTTTATGTAGGGAGGCAAAGGCTACGGGACAGGACTATGCACGCACCAAGCTGAAGCAAACTCATTTCCAGCTCAGGGCATTGCACCAACGTGGCATCCTGCAGTTTCCACTCAAAAGTCAAAATAGATCCAGGTAGTACTGAGACCTACAGACCAGCAGATCCAGAACACCACCAGTGGCACATCAGTTCCATTTTGTACAGTGTGGCAAAGTCTGAGATTACAGACAACAATAAGCTGCACATGTGCTGAGCTGCAAGTGAACTCACTTCCAGCTCAGTGTATTGCACTGGTCCCAGAGGGAAAATAATACCTATGGGCCAAAATAGGTCAGGGTGGCCCTCAGACCCAACAGGGCCAACATGCTCCAGGAAAATCAGCATCAACAACAGAGTTATTTTGGACACCTGGTGTCTCCCTAATCCTGGAAACTGCTCGAACCCAAAGTGGAAGAAAGTTTGTACAGACAACAGTGCAGCCACAGCAAGCGATCACATGTGGTGGCGAGTGGTGAGCCAGGAACTGGGGCTGTGGAGACCATGCTGGAAGTCTAGCAGAAGAACCCAGGACTGAAACTTGCTATAAGTCAAAAGAAAACTTCAAAATAATCCCTATTGGAATAAAAGTTTCTATCTTTTCAAGTTTTCAAATGTATGGGTATTTTATTTAAACTGAAAATACTAACATAATATTGGAGAAAAAATTTGTATTATACCAGTTCTTTGAAATTTGTTTTAAAATAAATTATGCAATTGTATTTACCCATGTAAACTTTTCATGAATGTAACTGTGAGTTTGTCAATTGAGTGGTTTTTTCCTTGACTGTGAAATTAAGTTTGTTAAACTTGTTTTATTTTATATCATGCCTACATTTTTATTAGTTTGACTTACTAATAATTGAGAATTACACTGGGATCTCCTTCAACAACAATAAATTTGTTACTTTTTTTCTATAGTGTTAGTCTTAAATATACTGAATTTATCTCATTTGAGATACACTAATTTAAAATTATTTCACTACATATTATGAGTTTACAAACTGATATGAACAAAACTGGTAAAGGATATCTACAAAATTGGAAAGCTAACATTACACTTAACTAGAAAATTATGAAATACGGTTTCTCCCTACGACAAAGAACAAAT